AATGAATTTTAGGGACAAATGGAGGTTATAAGCAGAATATATTTATTGAGGGAAAGAAAGCTCCTTTCCGAGAGAAGGACAGGAGGAGCTTCCCTGAGTGGGTGGTGCCGGGGAAGCTGTCTCTTCTAGGGACTTTTATGGAGGAAAATCATGTGGTGAGGCAGGCCTAAGGTGGTGGAGAAGACATGGGAACTCCTTAGGTGGGCATGAAGTGGGACAAAACTATGGTCAATCAATGAGATTACAAGCACTACTGCTCAGGTAAAATTGATTAAATCCAGTATCAAATGGGGAAGCGAGTCACATAGCAAGAGGGTATGAATATGGGACAGGGTTTCTTCCTGTTGGGGGTTGGGCTAGTGACTCTTTTGGGCTCATTCAAGGGGATTGATACCTATTCAGAATTTCTCTTCCTGATGCCCATCCCTAGGGAAATGTGTAGCTGTTTGTTTCCTCTTTCGTCTTCAGGTGTGGTCCATATGGGAGTGTCTGTCTCTTCCAAGTTGCAACATCAACTTGTCTTCCATCTTGTCTCCTTGAAGGCCTGGCCCTGTCTGCCTACAACGCTTTGAAGTGGAGAGAGAGAGAGAGAGAGAGAGAGAGAGAGAGAGAGAGAGAGAGAGAGAAGGATTTCAGAAAATAGAAAGATCTTCCTTGCTCCTGGATAGGAAGAACCAACATTGTGAAAATGACCATGCTCCCAAATTGTTGGACAGATTCAATGTAATCCTGACTAAAATATTGTTAGTATATCTCATAAATCTAGAGAGAAAATGTCCATCAGGAACCAAAAGAGACTTAAAATAGCAAAAACAGGATTAGGCAACAAAGGAATGGCAAGAAAAATCACAATCCCTGACTTGAAATCATACAAGAAGTCTATTATGATAAAATCAGTATGGCATTGGCAAACACAAAACAGACCTGTGGGTTAATAGAGCAGATAAGAAAATGCAGACACAACTACAAACACACTCAGCCACCTTATCCTTGACAAAGGGTCCAAACATGCTCACTGGAAGAAAAATAGCCTCTTTAATAAATGGTGCTGGAAAAATAGACTGTCCACATTCTGAAAATTAAGACTAGACCCATGTCTATCACTGTACACTAAACCACAGTCAAAATGGGTCAGAGATCTAAATATTAAAACAGAAACACTAAATCTACTGGAAGAGAAAGGAGGTAGAAGTCCTGAAGGCATAGGGGTAGGTAGAGAGTTCATGGACCAAACCCAAACTTCATGGGAATACTTCAAAGAATCAACAACTGGGATCTCATCTTATTGAAAAGTTTTTGCATGTCAAAATAAAACACAAGCAGAGTGAAGAGAAAACCCACAAATTAGGAAAAATCTTGGTCTATTGTCCCTCAGACAAAGGATGTATGTTTAGGACATATAATTTTTTTTAAAAAAATCAGGTGTTCAAAATTCAAAGACCCAATCAAAAACAGGGCACCTGAGAAGAACTCAGCCTTGTCAGATAAAGAAAATGCTGGAGAGGCTGTGAGGAAAAAGGAAACCTTCTTCACTATTGGTGAGAGTGTAGACTGGTAAAACCCCTGTGAAAATCAGAGTAGAAATTCCTCAAAAAAGTAGGACTAGAGGTCCCATGACACCCAGCTATTTCCCTTTTGGATATTTTTTCAAAACTGAAAACATCAGACTACAATGATGTTTATGGCAGCATAATTCTTCATAGCTAAATCTTGGAAACAACCCAAATGCCCACCAGCCGAGGAATGGATAAAAACATGGGGTACTTTTGCACAATGAAGAATTAATCAGCAATAAAAAAGATAAACTTGAGGATTTTATAGGTAAATGGATGCAACGGAGCACTGTACGCATAAGCATAATAAATGAGACCCACATGGGTAAACATTGTCTTCCTACTCTAAGAAGCTAAATAAAATCTGTAAGGTATGATACTGTGAAAGGGAAAGAACCTGTCAAAGGGAAAAAATAACTGGGATGAGGAAAAAGAGAAAAGAATGAAGAAAAAATATATACAGAATATATCTGCTAGCTAAGATAAATGTATTACTATTTCCTATTTGTTTATTGAAAGGAATAGTTAATGCTTAAAATTTTTTGATCCATTTTACATGTTTATATCTGGTAATTTGAACAACTACTTTCAAGACAGTGATATGCAACATAACGAACATTTTTGAATTGTTATCATCTTGTTTTATTCAATCCTGTACCATTTCTAATGATTTTTATTTTTTATTCTCTTTAAAATAATATTTAAAAATCTATGAGATGTTTATGTTTAATGGTACATAACCCACACATTTCAATAAATCTATAAAACTTAAATGAAGGAGTCATATTCTGACACAGATGCCATATAAAATAACAAAATATACTGCTCAGTGTTTAGAAGGTAAAATGCTGTTACTTTATTCTCAGCCAAATTAATTAAAAATTCAAATGGAGACTATATAATGTAATAAGATAGGATTGATCACACAAATATATATATATATATATATATATATATATATATATATATTTGAAAAATAAAACTGGCAGTTGCTACTAGCTCTTTGAGAATACTATTTCAATTTCCTACATTAGGACAGTTAACATGAAACTTAAATAACAACAAATTAGAAATTTTGAAAAGTAGTGTTCATCAAAAAAGAGTGACAATGAACTCACATAAAAATGTATAAAAATTTAACATAATGGATATGCTAGTTGTCCTGAGTTGACCTGCCCCACACAGGATCTCCTGAAATTCCCGGCAGGAGCCCACTTTCCTTACGTAATCATACACGCTGCAATTTCCATGCACACTGATGTATTCATGAATTAATGCAGATCCACAAGAGAGTTTTGTCTGATTCTCATTGTACACTCTTTCAAATGCCCCCTCTGCTTCTTCAATAATCCTTAACGTTAGGGTAATATTAGTGAATCATTTTAATGAGGTATTTAAGGATACTTTATTTTTTCAATTTTTCACTTCATCATTTAATGTCATACTCAAGAGAACAGCCTGGAAACTCAAAAGAGGAGCAAAGAGTACTTCATGGCCCTGAGGATCCATTGAACCTGGTGACAAATAGAGATAAAGAAATGGCCATCATGAAATATCTAAGCCTTATATATTTTAGTTTCTTTCCATTATTATATGAGAAAATCTTTGACCTAACTATGCACCATGGAAGTGAGCTTTTTCCTACTAAATGAAGCTTAGACTGTTTTTCCTCTCAGGTCTCATGCTGTCTTTTCATATCACTTGTTGTAACATTAAGGAATACCAATATAGGCAAGCACACTGCTCCTGTATCACACACGGATGACACGGGTGATGCTGATGTCCCGAAGGGAGGACCTGTGCCTTTCCTGATGCACACTATATCTGTTTATCAGCTTGGAAATTATTATAATAACTTTGGAAATATATACTTACATATCTATATAGTTATTATGTAATATTAAAAGATGATTGAGAGAAATTATAATTATGTCCACAAAACCTTAAAATATTTGAATTGTTTTCAATGATTTCTCTGAATTTTGATCTGTTCTATTTTTAAATAAGCATGCTTATTTCTGATAGATTCATGATTCATAAAGTAGATAACGATTTCTCTGGAAAGCTTTCTATTCCAATTTGGTCAAATTTTTCTGATTTAGTATCTATATAATGTAAACATTTACATTTTATGTTGCATATTATGTAACTATTCAAAAGTATTCTATTAAAAGTTAAAGCATCACAAGGAATACAAAGTGATCATGTTCTTCACTGTAAAGCTGATTTACAGGGAAAATCTGATCTTTTACACTTGGAAGCATTCCAGGTGTGCTTGCTGAGAAATTGGTCCCCTAGGATTGCCAAGTGCTGCGCTGTCTTCAACACCCACTAATGAGGCAGCCTAGAATTAGGAGGCTGGAAGCCGGGCAGGACACACGCCATTCTGCCCACTTTCCGTCTTCCTCAGCTTCTCCTGAGATGCCCTGGGAAGTTACAGTTTGACTAAGTCCTGAATGAACTGTCTAGGTTAATTTACATCAGAACAAAACAGTGAATGTACAACTACATGATGGAAATTGTCAGATTTTAAATGCATCTCATGTTTTGTTTTTTTGTTTTTTTTTGTTTTTTTGTTTTTTGAGAAGAATTTAATGGTCGACAAGTTTTTAGATGGATAATGTTGGAAGATTTTTCACCAATTTTGGGTCATAGTAAGTATTATTCTTAAAATGAGATGGCTTCAAATGTGATAAACCAAGATCAGGACTTTTCCAAAACAGTATATGCATACATACAACATTTGGACCTCATCCTAAGAAGTGCCTGGATTTGTAGAAACAGAAATGTAGAGTAGATGGGATCAGACTGCACAAGCGATGTTGTATATTTTAAGCTACTGTTTGGAGAAAATGGTTTTGAATGATCAAGAAGGAAAAATATGTCTAGAAATGAATACTTTTGTTTCATCTATGATCCTAGGTCCTCAAAGGAAACTTCATTATTTGCGATTGTGTATTAAACGATTTTGGAAGCAAAAGGATAGGAACTGATTCATTAAATCTGCTCCTGCCATCTCGTTCCTGTGTCGCACTGCTTACATTTGCTGAAACATCTGTAAACAGAGGTGGAGTGAGGCAACATCGACACTCACTTTCTCTCACTTCAGAGAATCCCTCTGTCGGCCCTTTTTCCATCCACAGCATGTTGACAGCAGTAGTTATGTAATAATATTTTCATGAAGGTTAGGTGTGTTAACGTTGGAAAGCCTGTGGACTACATCACTTCAACCTAACTCTATACGTGCGTTACTATGTATCATATTGCACTGTAATACCAATTTACAAGCACACATGCCCTGGGATATTGGACATTTTCCATTTCATTAGGTGATTTTTCATCAATTGTTAGAAAGTAATTATAAAATAATAGGGCATTTATACAATGATTTTCAAATCATTACAGCTAAGAATCATTTGATTTTTCACTCTTTTAAAACATTACACCATGGGTAGAAGGAACTTCACCAATCTGCCTGACTTTATCCTCCTGGGGCTGGTGGATTCTGCAGAGACACAGCTGGGCCTCTTCCTGCTCTTCCTCTTCATCTACCTGGTCACAGTGCTGGGGAACACAGCCATGATCCTAATCATTCGCCTGGACCCTCAGCTGCACACACCCATGTACTTTTTCCTCACTCACTTGTCCTTTCTCGACATCAGCTACTCCAGTGTCATCACCCCAAAAACACTACAGAACTTAGTGTCTTCTGACAAGGGCATCTCCTTCCTGGGCTGCTTCACCCAGATGTCCTTTTTTGTTATCCTCATTGCTGCTGAATGCTACCTTCTCTCCTGCATGGCCTATGATCGCTATGTAGCTATCTGCAATCCTCTCCACTATCCAGTCATTATGTCCCCAAGACTGTGTCGGGCCCTGCTTGCTGGCTGCTACCTGATTGGTTGTGTGGATTCTACAGTCAATGCAGTTTGCATGAGCAGACTGCGTTTCTGCAACTCTAACGTCATTCATCACTTTTTCTGTGACTTATCCCCGATTTTAGCGCTGTCCTGCAGTGACACACAGGGCATTGAAATCATGATATTCATTCTTGCTGGTTCAAACCTCGTGCTGTCCCTCGTCACCATCTCTGGATCCTATTTGTCCATCCTCTCCACTATCCTGAAAATTCACTCCACTGCAGGAAAGCGAAAAGCCTTCTCCACCTGTGCCTCCCACCTCCTGGGCGTCACCGTCTTTTATGGCACCATGATCTTTACTTACCTCAAGCCGAAGCAGTCCTACTCCCTGGGCAAGGATCAGGTGGCCTCTGTGTTTTACACCATTGTGATCCCCATGCTGAATCCCCTCATCTACAGCCTCAGGAACAGAGAGGTGAAGAGCGCTGCCCTGAGAGTCCTGCAGAAGGCAGAGGGCTCCAGGAAGTTGACATAACAGTGTTGCCAGGCAGGTAGAGTCCTTCACTTTCCCTTTGGTTTCTCTCCGAAAGCCACTGAATCTCTTTGTTCTGCTCAGGCTAAGCATGGCCCTAGGCATGTCCATGAGCATTCCTTTAGCAATTCCTGCTGCAGTTGGAAATCATCAAGTGCATGCTAAATGCGTGGACTATGCATGTGTGAATTTTTAAGGGAAGCAAATGTGCAAAAAAGAAAATATTCTTGCTATTTTAAAACTATCATACAATCCTCATGCTTTCTCCAATGTTAGACAAATTTATAGTGAAAATAGACTGGGTTTTTACATTTCCCTGTATTTATAATATAGAGAATAAGTATAATTAGATACAATACCTTTCTAGTCAAATATTCTAGTACTTAGAATCTAGATCTGGAAACTTTTTAGTGAACAAAACTTCTTAATTTACTGAAATTTTATGACTAATTTCCCCCAAGTACACTAAATATGTAAAAACTCATGACCACTGAATTAGGAAGTTGATGTAAAATGCTTAGGGTCATTACTACCAGAAGACTTGAATTCCTAATGTATTTTAATGCACATTGATTTGATGATTATTGCTGGCCAACACACTGGCCAACACACAAAGAGCTACAGGAAAGCAGCCAGTAGTTCCTCACTTTGTGTGCATAATAAAGCAAAAATATCAAAGTAGAATTAAGTTACAGGAAAGCGCATATATGATTGAGATTACAATAATTTGGCAAATAATAAAAATTATTTTAAAAAAAGAAATGCAATAGCAATTACTGACAGTTTTTTCCATGTCCTTTTACATAAATTGTTACTAGTGTCTGTTGGTCCATATAATTTCTGCTATTTCCTGTGTCATTGCTGGTGCTCTCTGTGCCCAAATCTTTAACATGTAATAATTTCTTGGTAACTGGAATCTGCCTGATGAACATGTTCTCAAGATGTGGGGAACATGAAGACGTTATTTAATGTGGTGAACCCGAAGAGCTGGGAAGTGACTGGGTTAAAATCCTACATGCTGCTGTGTTAGCTGTGTGCCTGCTAGACATGACAAGCTGCAGCTCTCTGGGATGCGACAGGAGCGCCCACCCCTGCTTCTTGCTCTCTTCTGGTGTCTTTACGTTGTAATAAATTACTGAGCTCTTTGCCTCATTACTTTTGCATTTTTAATAGTGAAAAATTTCAAGGCAAAGGATAGATGATAAATTTGGAATATGTGTCATTCCATAAGCCTAGGTCAAGAAATGAAACCTTTTCTTAAAAAAATCCTATCTATATGATCTATAATTACAGCTTAAATATCTCTTTGCTATTTTAAGATTATTTTATAATGTATTGTTTCATTTTGTAAATGTCTTCTTTTATTGTTATGTAAATATTTCAGACAATGCTTACATGGATTATTTTAATCCCAGCATATGATTATATGAGTTATTTACTCGTTGAAGTCCAAATTAGTTTCCATAAAATTATAGTTGATCAAGTATGTAAAGTTAACTGTAACATCTCTATTTTTAAAATTATGAATATATTGATGTTTTTCCAACTCAAAAATGTCTATTGGTTTATTCTTATCTTTATAATGTATACTATCTTACTCAAATTTCTGAGTCTTCCAAAAATTATGACATACTAACTCAATATTACATAAAATTATTAATCTTCCTTTGTCATCTATGTTTTTAGAACTGATTTTTCAGTATTCCTAGTTATTTTCTTTTGCAATTAGAATGAAAATTTAATAAGCATGTACAGTTCAGTATGTAGTTTGCACTCCTCACTCATCCTGCAAATGTCTTAGTAATTTCATACAGTTATGGGTTCTCCTCCCAGTCAATATTGCTTTTTTGGTACCAGGGATCAAACTCAGGACTTTATGTTTACCAGGAAGACGCTTCATCCACTGAGCTGTCTCCCAGCTCATCCCAGTCAGTTTTATAAAATACAGGTTTACCTCATTTCATTTACATAAGCTCCCACGGCTTAGCTCAATTATGCCACCAGCTTTTGTTGGAGAAGCAGTCACTGAATCTGTGATATTTTAGACAACACTTAAATTGAAGAAGCTGTTACATTTTAATTAAATTAAGACTCACTTGCTTTCATTATGACATAGGCTAGAGAGCATTTATATCATGTTACTAGTTAAGTACAGTGTAATATAATGGCATTCAGGGACACTTAGGCTATATTTTCAATTGCCTGATTGTTTTCTTACTTCACTGCATAGTTCATGTAATGAAAGTTATTTACCTGAAATAATTTAAGATATTATCAGGGAGTTCAGCGTTGCAGATCAAAAAGTTATATTATATAAATATCATTTTTAGAAGATCATAAAACAGCACAATGAAGTACAAACAACTGTTTTTACTTCTAAATTATTCATGTAGAGATCATAATGGAATATGTATTTCTAGTCATCACGTTCCAGACAGTAACTTAACAGGTTTAAGATACATGACTAACGAACTGTATCTTCACAGGATAACTTTTGCACAGCACTGGCAGGATCCACATTTAGTATCACATAAGAGAAAACCATCTTTTATTTGTTCAAGCAAAGATCTATTATGTATTTCAGGAATTTTCTTTACATCAAACTTATTTCATTTCCATTCCATTGAGTTGATCTTTAAGAGCATAGATTTTAAGTCTTCCTCATTACATTCTCTGTTACCATCCTGTACAAAGAACAATCACTTTAGCTTTAAGATTAATGTGATAACTGTAGGCTTCTCTCTGGTCTCTCCTCATTTGCTTATGAAACAGACTAGAGCGACCTAGACATTCTTCAGCAGATGAGTGGAATCATGAAATGCAGTTTATAGGCAACCAGGTCATACTTGACACCACTATATCAACAAAATATGCCATTTCACAAGGTTACATATCACATGTTTTCTCCTTATTTGAGCAATTTATGAAAAAGGAAGGAAGGAAGGAAGGAAGGAAGGAGAAGAAAGAAAGAAGAGAAAGAAAGAAGAAAGAAAGAAAGAAAGAAAGAAAGAAAGAAAGAAAGAAAGAAAGAAGAAAGAGAAAAAGAAGTAGAAGAGGAGGAAGCAAAAGAAAAGAAATCTTAAAGATTGATGGTTAGAGATAGGAAAGGTCATCTGGAGATGAGGGAGACAAAGAGAGGGTTGTAATAAGGATAAAGGTAATCAGATATATTATATACATATTTTGACATACCAAAACACATCTCATTATTAAGCATTAACAGTTTGCCCCTAAATTTAAAAATATGCATTTACATCACAAATACAACTGCAGAATCAGTAAACCAAAGTCACAGGAAATTTCTGATGTCTGCCTTAATGTTCAAGGAAGAGTGGACTGTCATACAGAATTATCACTGGACAAAGGGACTCAGTGGCATGATAATCCACTGAGGGGGAGAACCTTGCATGGTCTCTTTCTAGGTTCTCCAAAAGGAAACTGTGCACAGAACTTCCTCCATCTGGTCACAGGTCAGGAGTCCTCTGGAGGAGGTGACGCACTTTCACAGAAGTCACGTCTAAGACTCTCTCCATGGTCAGCTTGTACACAGGAAAGGTGGCAGAAAGCCAAACTCTTCTCTTGGTTGAGTGGATTCTTCTAGGTGATATGAGTTTACTGTGCGTGACCTACTCTAGTTTGCGCCTTGGCTTTGGGGGAAGTAGGGGATCAAGGGCTAGACTGACAGGGCATAGGCAGGGGACTCTGATTTCTGAGGTCCTTTCCAACTCCTTAATTTCAAAGTCCTCAGCCTGCCAAAGACAGATGCTGCATGATGCACATGTTCTGATCTCTGATATTTTTCACATTTGGAATTTTAACAGAAGTTTCATAAAAATTAGGAAATGAGCCCTGGAAGTAGAGAGGAAAATTAGGGTAGCAAAGCCATGGTGAACTCCCTGCAAAGGGCCAGGCACATTAGAATGAGGGCAAATGGGGCCGGAGAGATGGCTCAGTGGAATAAGCGCTTCACTGGCAAGTGCAAGGGTCTGAGTTCAATCCCCGGTTCCCCACCCCAAAAAAAAAAAGAAAGAATGAGGGCAAACACGCTGAGCAGAGCTAACCAGCCCTAGTGGGTAAGCAGAAGCCCACACAGCCAAGTACAAGTCTTCATCCTTGCACTGCTCATCAGCAATATCTTAAGGCAATCGATGTTTTGGGGACCTTTTCATGACTAGGAGGTGTAAGTCAAGTCAACTGACCTATTACTTCTCATCACGAATGTGATGGTGTCAGCCGTCCTAGCTTTTTGAGAAGTCTCCACCGTGGTTTCCATAATGGTTGCACCAGTCTGCATTATAATTACTGATCATTAGCTGATTTGCACTAACATTTGGTTTGCATGATACTTCTGCGTAAAGAGAGTCTAGCTTTTTTCCTGCAGATTAGCTTAACATCGATTCTAAGTACTTTTATGAATAATTTTAACCAGATTGTTCTAGGTGTAACTGAAAAGCATCCAACTCTTCCGTGCTCATATTCTGTCTCCCAAATGTCTCTTTTGGCTCATTTCAAGCAATACCATATTGATTCAGAAGATAATTTGGAGTACAACTTTTCCTTAACATTATGGAACCCTAGACTGCATGGTAGAAAGCTAAAGAATGATTCCAGAACACTGGAAAGATTTGAATGTAAAAAGGAAGTAAGATTTGAAACACTGAAGAAGTAGGTAATTTCTTTCTTCAAGAAAAATCCTCTTTAAGTGTAACTATCTGAAGACTAACTGTAGCATCAAAATGAGCTAGATCTCAGATCTTAGAAAGGTTACAGAGTAGCAAGTCATAGATTAATCTCCATGGTATAATTTTACTAGTTTTAATTATCCTTAGGCACAATCTCAATAAACATTATTGTGCTGCTTAATTCTCTTTTAAATTAATTAGACTCAGAGTTTGAGAGTGGATCAATTTCAATCATGAAGCAGTAGAAAAGTGAGCCCCAATAACAGAAGAAAAATCTGCAGTTTTGACCCAAACAAGTCGAAGGCACACACAGATGCCTAG